CTATTTTTAAAATAATAATCTTTGTAACAACCCTATGAGCAATATATTGCCTTTTTTATAGACAAAGAACCAAAGTGACTCCCCAAACTCATTCAGATAGGTACAGGGCTAGGATTTAAACCCAGATACATCTGACTCTACGGAGCAGGCACGGGACCCAGCAGCTGAGATGCCCACATCCTGTATCTGAGTACTGGGGTACAGTTCCTGACTCCAGCTTCTTGCCAGTGCAGACCCTGGGAGGCAGCAGTGATGGCTCAAGTAATCGGATTCTTGCTGCCTATAGAGGAGCCCTGCGTTGAATCGCCAGCTCCCGGCTTCAGGCTCAACCTAACCCTGGCTATTGCAGGTATCTGGGGAGTGAACCAGCAGATGGGAGTTCTGTCTCAAGTAAATAAACTATTTATTTTTAAAAATAAAACACAAAAATTATTTTTTAAATCTAGATACGCGTGTGTGTGTGTATGTGTGTTGTGTGTATCCCCCCAAAGAATGTGCTCTTCCCATAGTACCATTTGGATTTCAAACCACAAAAGCCTCAGCTATGTCTGCTCACAGTGAGTCTGGCCTGAAACGTGGGCACATGGGCAAGCCTGTCCTGAGACGCTGATTTTTAATAAGCTTCTGTCTACCATGAACCACTTCTCTGCCAGCTCTCTTGCCCTCATTACTTCCCAGAGCAGTGGAGGCGATTTTTCCCAGCTGGTACTCCCAGCATCTTACTGCTGGGGAAATGAGAGCCTGAGAGGAGAGGGAAGTCCCCAGAGCCCCGAGATGTCACGGTCAAGCTCCAACACCAGCCTCTTCCGTTTCCTGTGGCTCCCAGGAGGGCCTGGGAAACGCATCGTCCCTGGGCTGCCTTCTTCTAGGACAAGACCCATGGCTGAGTGGCTAATTAGTGTGTGACGCTGCTCATGGCCCACTCCTTCCTCATATTCCCCCAGATCACAGCCAGGTTCCCTTTGGCCATTTGATACAGCCCACAAGAGAAGCAGGCTGCATGCATTTCCAGGAAAGGGGGTGTATGGCTGCCTGCCAGGGGCGGTGGAGATTTTGGTTAGAACCTGGTGTTAATACGGTCATCCCTGAATGAACCAGAGAGAACACCACCAAAATCAACTCCCTGTTTCCATGTCTAATTGCTTCCCAAACTGGGGCTGTTGGCTCACGAGGCAAGGACCTGAATATGACTGCTGTCTGGGAAAACCAGTCAGAGCCCAGTGCCCGTGCGAGACGCACATCACTCACGGTGTCTGCCTGCCGGCCCCTGGGGACTGCGGAGAGATCTGTGCTGCGAGACAGCCTTCCCAAGTGCCTTCCTGAACATGTGCTGACTGCAGGGGCTCTTTGTTCCTTGCGGAAGATGCAAGAAAGCCTCCCTTTGATTTCAGGTGTTCTGTGTGGTGCCTTCTTTCAGCTGAATTCCAGATAAAAACCTTCCAGAAGGTACTCACCTCCTGCAGCTTGCTTTGAGGCTGTAACAAGAACCCCTATGGGAGGCAAACTGCACAGCCCAGGTTGACCTCAATCTCCCTGTATCTGATGGATACAGAGTGTTGTGTCTCAACAAACCCATGCAAAACTCGGAGGACCGCCTACCCCTTCCAGGGTCGGCCAGAAGCCTAAACAGTCTGTCTTCATCGTAAGGCTTCCTCCAGGTTTTGTTCCTGGGACATGATGGCTGATGAGATGGTCCTTTGGCCTTGAAATCATACTGAAGAAGCAGTGTGGAGTACTGTCCGGGAGTAGACATGGTTTAAAGGGTTTTCTTCCCACGTGGAGGACACGAACTGCAAAGCTCTGCATTTTCCTTGCTCTGTTAAACCCAGCAGTACCCTTTCTGCTCATCCCATTTCAGGTTCTAACTTGGGTTTACAACTGCACTGACACCAATAACCAGTGAGGTCCTGAACAGGGCTGGCAGCCACTCCCCAGTAGGGCTAGGCGTCTAGTGCCCAGGGCCTGGGTCTCCTGAGTGGCTGGGAAAGCCCGCTGCATGCTGGAGTTCCCGACGGAGCAGGACCCATCTGCATCCCTTGCCCTCTAGGGCTCTGATGGCAGTAGGGCTCAGGTGCTGGGCACAGAGCCCAGACAAGAGCGGCTGGAGCGGGGGACAGGCAGGGAATTAGGTAAGACCTGGAAAATACCACTAGAAATCACTCAACCAAGGAGGAGGGAAGGTCAGTGCAGAGTGACAGGTGAGGGAGTCCACCCAGGAAGGCAGCAGTGGAAATCAGAAGGTAATCTGGCAAGATTTAGAGTTGAGGGCAAACCAGGAAAACAAAACCACCACCACTTGATTTTTGGCATAGGTGTCAATGCAAGTCAACAGGAAAGGGATCATCTTTTCAATAAATGGTGCACAAAGTCCTATTTAACCATAGGTAAAAATGAACCTCAGTTATTATCTTGTTCCACGCACAAAAACTAATTTGAAATTGGCCTGTCAAGGTTAAAACTATAAAGTCTTTAACACACACACACAAAAGAGAGAGAGAGAAAAGAACATCTTATTAATCTTGAGTTAGCAAAAAATCTTGAAAATAATTCAAAAAGTTCAAATGACAAATGACAACTTAATGCCCGTGAACAGAATGCTTAAAAATGGTTAAAAAGGTACATTTGATGTTATATATTTTACCATAATTAAAACACACACACAGAATGCCTCTGTTTAGGCATTTGGTGGGGGTACAATAGAAAATATTTCTATTCATCAAAATTAAAAACTTCTGTTCTAGGGGCCGATGCTGTGGCATAGCAGGTAAAGCCATCACCTACAGCGCTGGCATCCCTTATGGGTGCTGGTTCAAAACCTGGCTGCTCTACTTCCGATCCAGCTCTCTGCTATGGCCTGGGAAAGCAACAGAAGATGGCCCAAGTGCTTGGGCCCCTGCACCCGCGTGGGAGACGCGGGGGAAGCTCCTGGCTCCTGGCTTTGGATCGGCCCAGCTCCAGCCTTTGCAGCCATTTGGGGAGTGAAGCAGCAGATGGAAGACCTCTTTCTATCTCTCTCTTGCCTCTGCCTCTCTGTAACTCTGCCTTTCAAATAAATAAAAATTTTTTAAAGCTGTTCTTCAAAAGACATTGTCACAGAAATGGAAAGATGAGACATATGAAAATTTACAAAATCTGTATCTGACAAAGGACTTGCTCTGGAATATATATATATTCAATAACAAGACAAACAACCCAAATATTTTTAAATGGGCAAAAGATTTAAACAAACATTTTACCTAAGAAGATATAATGTTAGTAAATAAGCACATGAAAGATGCTTAATATAATTAGTCATTAGGGAAATGCAAATTAAAACCTCAGTGAGAAACTATGATATACCTACTAGAATGACAGGAAATACAGAAGTGACTATTCCAAATGTTATTCAAAGGAGTTGGAGGGGTTGGCGCTGTGGCGTAGGGGGTAAAGCCACTGCTTTCAGTGCCAGCATCCCATATGGGCGCCGGTTCGAGTCCCAGCTGTTCCACTTCTGATACAGCTCTCTGCTATGGCCTGGGAAAACAGTAGAAGATGGTCTGAGTCCTTGGGCCCCTGCACCCACGTGGGAGACCCAGAGGAAGCTCCTGGCTCCTGGCTTCAGATTGGCCCAGCTCCTGCCATTGTGGCCATTTTGGGGAGTGAACCAGTGAATGGAAGACCTTTCTCTCTGTCTCTCCCTCTTTCTGTGGAGCAACTGAAACTCCTCATACACTGCTGGTGAGTATATGAAAGGCTAAAACTACTTGGGAAAACAATTTGACCATTTCTTCTAAAGTTTCACATAACCCTACTCTATGATCAAACCATTCCCCACTTAATGTATTTACTCTAGGGAAATGAAAGCATATGTCCACAAAACTCTTGCTTTTCCTGGTGGCCACTGTGGTTCGGTGGATTAAGTTCCAGCTGGAGTGTCAGTTCAAGTCCTGGCCTGCTTCCTGCTAATGCATCCTGGAAGGCAGAGGATGATGGCCCAAGGGGTTTTCTCCTGATTCAGCCTGGCCCAGCCCTGGCTGCTGTGACATTTTGGAAATGAACCAGCAGATGAAAGATCTCTCTTTCTCTTGCTGTCGCTTTCAAGCAAAATAAACAAACATTCAAAACAGCCCCTGAGAGGTGGAGATTGTGGTGCTGCAGGTTAAGCCGCCATGTGGGGTGCCTATACCCCACGTCAGAGTGCCTGAGTTGAGTCCTGGCTATTCAGCTTCCTACCCAGTTCCCCATCAATGCGTTCTGGAAAGCACCAGATAAAGGTTCAAGTACCTGGGGCTCTGCCACCCACATAGGAGACTTGGATAGAGTTCCAGGTACCTGGCTTCAGCCTGGCCCAGCCCTGGCTATTGTGGACATTTGGGAAATGAACCACTGGGTGAAAGATCTCTCTCTCTCTTTTTCTCTCTCTCTCTCTCTCATTCTGCCTTTCAAGTAGATGAAAATAAACATTTTAAAAAATAAAAAGATATTTCAAAAAAATTTTTAAAGTAGTCCCAGAACATAGAAAAACTTTTGAAAAAAGAAAAGGCTTGCACTTGTGGGTTCACAGAACTTTATTTGTAACAGCAAAAAACCTGTAAACTTAAATGTCTGTCATCAGGTGAATGGATAAACAAATTTAGGATGTCTTAAAAAACGGAACACTACTCAGCAACCGATAAGATTGAACTACTGATATAAGCAGCAACCTCAGGATAATTACTCTGAGCGAGCAGACACACAAAAAGGAGTATCTACTTCCATACACAAACTTCTAGAGAATGCAAATTAATCTACATTGACAGAAGGCAGATAATGGGCTGCCTAGGAACAGGGTGTGGTGGGACATGAGGGGTGGGTTACAGAGGAGGAACATATTCATTAGCTCGACTGCCGCAATGGTTTCATGGGTGTGGACGTATGTCAGAACTCATCAAGTCCTAGTCCTTCAAATGTGCAGCTAATTACACACTGATTACAATCCAATAAAGCCTTTTAAAAATAAGAAGAAAGAAGAAAAAACTCACCCGCAGCCATTAACAGGTAGCACAGGGTCACGGCTGGCATGTGCCACCTGGAGGCTCCTGATGTGCGGCCTCCATCATGCTCCTGATCTTTCCAAGCCTTGTCTTCTTCATCTGTAAAAAGGATAATACTAGCGTTGTGAAAGCAAGTGTCCTATTTGAAAGTACTTAGAGGCCGGCGCCGCGGCTCACTTGGCTAATCCTCCGCCTGTGGTGCCAGCACCCCAGGTTCTAGTCCCGGTTGGGGCTCCAGTTCTGTCCCGGCTGCCCCTCTTCCAGGCCAGCTCTCTGCTGTGGCCCAGGAGTGCAGTGGAGGATGGCCCAAGTGCTTGGGCCCTGCACCCGCATGGGAGACCAGGAGGAAGCACCTAGCTCCTGGCTCGGATCGGTGCGGCGCCCTGGCTGCAGTGTGCCGGCCGTATCGGCCATTTGGAGGGTGAACCAACGGAAGGAAGACCTGTCTCTCTCACTGTCTAACTCTGCCTGTCAAAAAAAAAAAAAAAAGCACTTAGAATCATAGCTAAAAAAGGTAAATGTTGGCCACCACCACCGTCATCATCATCATCTTTTGTGAAGCTGCGGATACAGACATACAGCAGAGATCAGCATTCAGGATGGAGGGTGGGGGCAGCAGGTGAGAATTCTAGACCGACAGAGATACCCAGAAGTCCCAGCACCCCAAGGAGGGAGGTTTTGAGGCAAATTCCTGGCCAACCTGAGGCTGGCCCCAGGTTTAGTTGGCTAGAAGCTGCAGAGGAGAGAGAGAAGTGGACGCACCTGGAAGAAATCATGCGGGTGGAAAATAAAGACTGACGGGAAGCCACAGACCCTGCCAGAGCTTCTTAAGTTTGTAGCCAACAGCTGTTGGGGTTGTCTTAGTGGCACTGGCAGGTGGACTCTCCTCTGTCACTGTCACCTTGGAAGTGGCTTCCTGGCCTACCAGAGGAGCACCTTCCAGCCTTCCCAGGATTTCCAGGTACCCACCCCTCAGGGCTTAGTCTTCTCGCCTTGGACGGGGTGCCCTTGAGAGTATTGGCACCTTCCAAGCTGCTTTCTGGTCCGAGTGACCCACGCGCCTGTCCAGTGCCTGTCCAGTGCCTGCCGCAGCACAGCAACAGAGCAACAGGACAACAGGAACGCTACCAGTGACCAGCTACTCGGGGTAAGTGCAGTGACTTCTGTGAGGAAAATCCAAGGCTTGGCTGGAAACGCTGGTGAAGACCAGGGTGGGCAGGGGAGGTGGGTGGTCAGAAACTGCAGGAATGGCCGGCGTTGTGGCTCAATAGGCTAATCCTCCACCTTGCGGCGCCGGCACACCGGGTTCTAGTCCCAGTCGGGGCGCCGGATTCTGTCCCGGTTGCCCCTCTTCCAGGCCAGCTCTCTGCTGTGGCCAGGGAGTGCAGTGGAGGATGGCCCAGGTGCTTGGGCCCTGCACCCCATGGGAGACCAGGAGAAGCACCTGGCTCCTGCCTTCGGATCAGCGCGGTGTGCCAGCCGCAGCGCACCGGCCGTAGCGGCCATTGGGAGGTGAACCAACGGAAAAACAAACAAACAAACAAAAAAACAACTCAAGAACTTTCTCCAGGATCTGCGCTGGGCAGCGCAGGGTCTCAGCTTGAAAGAACTCCGTAAAGTTACAGAGGCTCTTAAGAGTTCATGGCCCTGGGCGGGTACCGTGATGCAGCAGTTTTAGCTGCTGCCCGGGATCCCACTTCCCATATCTAGTGCCTGCTGCAACTCTTGCTGCTCCTCACTTCCCATCAAACCTCCTGCTAATATGTACTCTGAGAGGCAGCACATGACAGCCCAAGTACTTGCATTCCTGCTACCCTGTGGGAGACCCAGAGGAAGTTCCTGGTTCCTGGATTTGGCCTGGCCCAGTCCTGGTTGCTGCAGCCATTTGGGGAGTGAACCAGCAAATGGAAGATCTCTCTCCCTCCCTCTCCATCCTTCCTTCCCTCTCTTTTTCTCTGTCACTCTGCCTTTCAAATAAATAATAAGTAAATCTTTAAATAAACAGAAAAAGAGAGGCCAACAAGGTAGCACAGCATGTTAAGCCACTTCCTGCAACACCGGCATCCCATCAGAGTGCTGGCTTGAGTCTTGGCTGCTCCAATTCCGATCCAGCTTCCTGCCTGGGAAGGCAGCAGCAGATGGCTCAAGTGCTTGAGCCCCTGCTTCCCCCGTAGGAGACAGGATGGAGTTCCAGGCTCTTGGCTTTGGCCAGACCCAGTCCTAGCTGTGGCGATCATATTGGGAATAAACCAGAAGATTAAAGATCTCTCTCTCTGTCAAATCAATACATCTTTTTTTTTTTTTTTAAGATTTATGTATTTATTTGAGAGGCATAGTCACAAACAGAAAGAGGGAGAGACAGAGAGAAGTCTTCCATCTGCTGGTTCATTCCCTAAATGGCTGCTGTGGGGAGCAATCCGGACTAGACTAAGTTACTGGAATTAAGACTTATTCTATGCATCTGCTCTCCCACAATATGGCACTGGGAGAGAAGAAAACAGCTTCTACACAGCTGCCTCCAGTTCAGCCAATAAACTGTAGGACTTGCTCCTGATTGGAGAGCAGCGTACTCGGCGTGTGGGCAGCGAGTTAGGATTGGCGGAGGAGGACTATAAAGGAGGAGAGAGACGGCATGCACCAGGAACATCTAAGGGGAACACCTGTGGGAACACCTGTGCAGCCCCCGAGAGAGCCGGCCGGCGGTGTGCCGCTCCCCTGCGGAAGTGGGGAATGTGGCCAGGGGGAACTGCCCTTCCACGGAGGTGGAAGGGACGGTAGCCAACCCGGGAAGAATCAGCAGCAAACCCGGGGAGGGCCGAGCAGACGAAAGAACAGCGCAGGGTCCTGTGTCATTCCTCCACGAAGAGGGGGAGCGACATAATGGTGCCGTGACTCGGATATGAAGCCTAGGCAGGGTTTAGTGTTGCTCCTCCACGAAGAGGGGGAGCGACAGCTGCAATGGGTGGAGCTGGGCCAATCCGAAGCCAGGAGCCTTTTCTGGGTCTCCCACGTGGATGCAAGGGTCCAAGCACCTGAGTCATCTTCCACTGCTTTCCCAGCACATTAGCAGGGTGTTGGATGGGAAACAGAGCAGCTGGGACTTGAACCAAGGTCCATATGGGATGCTGGCACCACAGGCGGATGCTCAACCTACTACGCCACAGCACCAGTCCCAATAAATCTTAGGAAAAAAGAAGAGTTCATGGCTTAAAATCCAGTTCTGCCTCTACTGGTTCCATGCTGTTTGCCCCAGCCCATCCTCTTCTAATTTGTGTTATGCTCAGGTGATTAACTTCTTTAAATTGTTGTATTTACTTATTGTCATTTTATTTGAAAGGCACAGAGAGACCTCCCATCCATTGGTTCACTCTCCAAATACCTGCAAAAGCTGGGGCTGGATTAGGCCAAAGCCTGAGTCCAGAACTCCATGCAGGTCTCCTACATGGGTGGCAGGGACCCAAGTGCTTGAGCCATCACTTCTGCCTCCCAGGGTGCACATTAGCAGGAAGCTGGATTAGAAGTGGAGTAGCTGGGGTTCCAGTCAGGTACTCAGACATGGGATGTGGACGTCCCAAGCAACATCTCAACTACTGCACTGAATGCCCGCCCCGACCGACCCCTTTCGACTGCATCACCTGGGATTTCCTTCACCTCTGGTGTCTGGATGGGTCTAGCCACTGGGAGGGGCGGGGCAGCAGGAGAAAGGAGAGGCTGGCTATTTCTGGCAGTAACTGAGTGCCTTGGTGACTCAGTCTGCTGCATGGTTTCGGTTCTCACCCAGGCTCTGTCACACTGCTCACTCCTCGGTCCATTGGGCTTCGTGCTACTGTTGCTGGCATCTGGGTCCCTCACGAGCTTTGGTTTGTGCCATGAGCCCTGCCCTGGCCTCTCTGAGGAAAATCTCTTCATGTGAACTGGAGTCGTGGATTCTATCCTCTACCAGGGCCGGCTGATGCAGCCGCCTAGCAGCTGTGCACTCTTCTGCGGCAGTCAGCTTCCGGGCTCCACTTACCACCTTAGGGATATTAGAGGTTGTGCGGACCCCATGAGATAGGCACACAGGGCCACTGCTGCCATCCTAGGTGACGCCCCAGTCTCTGGGCCTCCCGATCTCTTCGCCCTCCTCCTAGAGATTTTGTTCCCCTGACAAGCCCTGCGCTCAGGCTGAAGGTGAGAGGAAGAGTGTCCCCAGCGATCCTCGCCCTGCAGGCATCCTGCCAGCCCAGCGTCAACCTTCCCGACAAAGGTCAGCCTGCCCGGAATGAGGAAGTGCCCGCAGCCGGGAAAGGCAAATTCAAACCCGAAAATACAGACCTGGAGCACTTCAATCAGCGTGGCCTGCGGTGCCCTTGCCCGCAGTAACTGTGCTGTTTATGAGGCAATAAGCCATTGAAATGACTGATGTTGGAACCACAGAACTCTCCGCGTGGCTTAGGAGAACCACTGCCAATCTGAGGGCTCCAGGGGGTCTGCAGGGTGAGGCCAGGATTGCCCTTTCACCTCTGCCTCCAACCTGCCTCTTTCCCCTCCATGGGGAGCACCAGTCCCTGGTGCGGTTACCATGACATGGGTGCTCTGGCCAAGACCCTGGAGTTCAGACAGGGTGGCCTGCAACACAGGTACTAAAGCCAGTGTTGTGTCTTCTGCAAAGTTGTGATAAATTACTTTGTGCTGGGCCGGCGCCGTGGCTCAATAGGCTAATCTTCCGCCTTGCAGCACCAGCACACCGGGTTCTAGTCTTGGTCGGGGCGCCGGATTCTGTCCCGGTTGCCCCTCTTCCAGGCCAGCTCTCTGCTATGGCCCAGGAGTTCAGTGGAGGATGGCCCAAGTGCTTGGGCCCTGCACCCGCATGGGAGACCAGGAGAAGCACCTGGCTCCTGCCTTCAGATCAGTGCGATGCGCTGGCCGCAGCGCACCAGCTGCAGTGGCCATTGGAGGGTGAACCAACGGCAAAGGAAGACCTTTCTCTCTGTCTCTCTCACTGTTCTACCTGTCAAAAAAAAAAATTACTTTGTGCTGGGGAGGGTCAGGGTGATCCAAAGCACAACACAGGACTCCTGGGTTCGAATTCTGACTCTGCCACTTATTTACTTGGCTAGTGTATTTGCCCCATTTATAACTCAGTGTTGTCATCTGTAAAGTGGGGATGACAGGAGGAATATGCCTGTGTTAGGGACTAAATGAGATTATGTATAGATGGCTTAGTATGGGGCCTGGCACACAGGGAGTGCTCAGAAAATGAGGCGTGATTGAGAGTCATGTCATGTCATCTCTTCTCATCTGGCTGGCTATGCTTCTCCCAGCGACAAAGAAAGCAAGTATCCCTGGGCAATTAAGAAGTCGTTACTTGACACCTACTTCCGGGAAGGTGACAAACACGGTCACACAAATTCCCGACCCACATGGGCTCTCACAGCCCAGCTAATCCAGAGGGTGCTGCAGGGCAAGTGTACATGTTGTGAGAGCTACGAGCTGGGCACCAAATGAACGGCCAGCAGACGGCCCTGAGAGCAGGACCGGGGCTAGTGGGCCCTTCGGGCAGCACCTTGACCAGACTGGCAAGGTGGGATGTGACTAAACTAAGTATTTTGTGGTAGCAAAATACTCCACAGAGGATCTTAGTACTGAAAACACACCACCAAATACTGTTAGAAGGCAGCTATGCCGGGGTCAGCATTGTAGCACTGTGGGTTAGGCTGCCACCTGCGATACCAGCAACCTATCCAGATGCTGGTTCAAGTCTCAGCTGCTTCACTGTTTTTTTTTTTTTTTTAAGTTTATTTATTTGAAAGGCAGAGTTACAGGGGGAGGGACAAAGAGGGAGGGAAGGAGAGAAAGAGTGAGCATGAGAGAGAGGGAGGGAGAGACAGAGAGAGAGAGAGAGAACCTTCCATCCACTGGTTCATTCCCCAATAGGCTACAACAGTCTGGGCACGTGGTAAGGGCCCAGGTGTCTCACTGCTTTTATCGGTTGTCACTAAATCATTTCTGAAGGTGGCTGTGACAATCTTGTGTTGCTGGCCGGCAGCACCCATGGCTCTCAGTCAGCTCAACAACCATGGCAGAAGCAACAGATACTCCACAAGCTATGACACTCCATAGGTTGAGTGTATTAAATTCACTTTCTACTTTTTTATTCTCAGTTTAGGTTGGTTTTATCAAGACATAATCCCATCCCAAGTTGAGAGCATCTGTGCACACTTTTTTTTTTTTTAAGATTTATTTATTTATTTGAAAGGCAGAGTTACAGAGAAACAGAGGCAGAGAGAGAGGTTTTCCATCTGGTGGTTCACTCCCTAAATGTCTACAACAGCTGGAGCTGGCCTAGAGCGAAGCCAGGAGCCAGAAGCTTCTTCTAGGTCTCCCAGGAGACTTAGAAGCCTTTGGGTGCAGGAGCCCAAAGACTTGGGTCATCTTCTACTACTTGGGGCCTAAGAACTTGGGCCATCTTCTTAAAAAAAAAAAAAAGATTTATTTATTTTATTTGAAAGTTGGAATTACACAGAGAGAAGGAGAGGCAGAGAGAGAGAGAGGTCTTCCATCGATGGTTCAATTCCCTTGGCAACTCATGACAAGAGCCTAGGGTGATTACTGATGCCATAAACAAGAGTGTCAATTTGTTAAGTCAACAACAGGAGTTACTGTGCACTTACTCCTCATGTAGGATCTCTGTCCTTAATGTGCTGTACATTGTGATTTAATGCTATAACTAGGACTCAAACAGTATTTTTCACTTTGTGTTTCTGTGTGGGTGCAAACTGTTGAAATCTTTACTTAATATATGCTAAACTGATCTTCTGTATATAAAGAGAATTGAAAATGAATCTTGATGTGAATGGAAGGGGAGAGGGAGCGGGAAAGGGGAGGGTTGGGGGTGGGAGGGAAGTTTGGCCGGGGGGAAGCCATTGTAATCCCTAAGCTGTACTTTGGAAATTTATATTCATTAAATAAAAGTTAAAAAAAAACTAATTTTTAAAAATACTTATTTTGAAAGTCAGAGTTGCATAGAGACAAAGAGAGAGAGAGAGAGAGAGAGAGAGAGAGAGAGAGAGAGAAAGAGAGGTCTTCCATTCACTGGATCACTTCCCAGGTGGCTCCAACGGCCAGCGCTGCGCCAGGCAAAAGCCAGGAGCCACTAGCTTCATCTGGGTCTCTTTTCTCTCTCTCTCTCTCTCTCTTTTTTTTTTTTTTTTTTTTTTTGACAAGCAGAATGGACAGTGAGAGAGAGAGAGAGAGACAGAGAGAAAGGTCTTTCTTTTCTGTTGGTTCACCCCCACAGTGGCCACTGCGGCCGGTGCACCACGCTGATCCGAAGCCAGGAGCCAGGTGCTTCTCCTGGTCTCCCATGCAGGTGCAGGCCCCAAGGACTTGGGCCATCCTCCAGAGAGCTGGCCTGGAAGAGGGGCAACCGGGACAGAATCTGGCGCCCCGACCGGGACTAGAACCCGGTGTGCCGGCGCCACAGGTGGAGGATTAGCCTAGTGAGCTGTGGCGCCGGCCCCCCATCTGGGTCTCTTACGGGGGATAGCTGGGATCCAAATACTTGGGCCATCTTCCACTGCTTTCCCCAGGCCATTAGCAGGGAGTTGGATGGGAAGTGGAGCAGCGGGGCACAAACCAGTGTCCATATGGGATACCAGCATTAGAGGTGCCAGCTTTACCTACTATGCCACAACACCTGTCCCCAAAATAAATAATTCAAAGAAAAAAAAAAGACTCAAATTATCATGAAACAGACTTAAAAGACCAATCCCCTCACATGTGCATAAAGTTTTGGTCATTCAAAGTAGTACCAGAAACCATACAATTTTCCGCCAAAGCACCCAAGGGGCTTTACTTAACTCTTGCTGAATATGTCCCATGTGCCAGGCACCCAGCTAAGCACTTCAGTATAATTACATAGTGCAGCAAGCTGTGTGTTCCAAAGATGGCTGCTACCGCAGCCCATCCTACATGCAGCTGACCTAGTGGACACAGAGACACAGTTCACCCACAAACCTGAAAGATGTCTTAGAAGCGATCCGCAAACAGTAGGCATGCTTTCGTGGTGCACACACTGGAGGAGTGAGAGGCTGCTTGGGCGGCAGTCGTCGTGGGGTGCGCAGAGGACTGGAAGCTTGGATGTGAGTGTGAACCGGGTTTCTAGACTCCTGGGAGCATCGGTTTTGCCACCTGTCAAAGTGGAGACAGAGTCACGCAAGCACACAGGATGGTTCCCCCAAAACAAGGTTCTATAGGAAAGCCCTGAGCTTTCCTCTGTGAGTGCTCACTGAGCCGTTACCAGGAACATTCAGAGGTAACAGGTCCCTGAGCAGGGTGCAGAATGTAGCTCCTGCCCTCAGGACACCCAGGCTACCACGGGAAGGGCTTCAGGTGGAGCAGCGCCCAGGAAAAGGCCGGCGCTGGCAGAGCAGATCACAGAGGCAGGACACGCTGTGCACTGTAGGTCAGGAGCAGGGCGTGCGGGGAGACAGAATGTGGGCACTGAAGGGCGGCAAAACTGAGGCAGACAGCGTCAGCTAGAGCTGATGGACAGCAAAGCCCGTAACACAAAACGTACTATCCTGTCCATGTTGCCAGAGCGTATTCGTAACCGGAAACAGCTCCGTGAGTAGACCACATTATTTGTTCAAAAATATTTGCTGCCATCTCCACCCACATGGCTCCTCCTGATGGGGAGAGTGGACCTTGCACCCCACAGTGTCAGCGTTGGCCATATGCCTTCGTTTCCCAGCGGAAGCTTTGTGCAGCACGTGCGAGCAGCTCTGAGAGCTTTAAGGGCAGCTTTAAGAGTGGTTCCTCGTTGCTCTTTTCCCCTCCACAGGTAGACATGTCCCCTAGAGGCTCCGCTTCTTCAGTGTGGACCCGGGAACGAAGAAGGTGTGGAACAGGACTGAAGAATGAACATGTAACACGAGTGACAAATACTCCTTTGTGGCAGGGACTGTCTGCCACACAGGATAACTTTGGGCAAACTGACTGACAAAAGACTTCACACACAAAAATCTGAAATTATCAGTTAAGTATTGAGCGCGTATACCATGTAAAACCTTGCAAGAAGAGCTGGAAATGACGACGGTAATTAAAAAAAAAAAAAAAAAAGCAAAAGTGTTAGCGACCATCCCCTGTCTTGAACTTCATGGTTCACAAAACACTTTGATATCCATTAGCTGAGATAGGCCTGTGAAGTGAGTATTTTACATTTTATAAATGGGGTCATGGAAGTTCAAAGAAGTTGAAGGCCTACCCCAGTTCACACAGCTCAAATGTGAGTCCCAACTCAAGCCCAGATCATCTGACTCCCAATCCAGTACCTTAAAAGCACCTAAAACCCACCCCCTGCCCTAACAGTACTTACAGCCAGGGTCACCAAGGTTGGGACCCTCCTCGCAGTGCTCCAGCACCCCGAGGCAGCTTAGCTCTTGGGAGCGAGTTCTATTTCACAGCTCTCTAAAGCTCAAGAAACAGCTGTGGGGCTCCTGGCTTCCGTTGAAGACTCCCTTCCACTGATTTTGAAAGACCCCTCTTAGTAGGGTTAAATCACTTCCTGATAGGTACTGGTAGAGGAGTCCTCTTCAGTCGTCTCTATTCCCTAACTTGCTTTTATCTTCTATGGGAAATTTTGTGATGAGGAAGCAGATGAGGAGTGACAGGGAGGAGGGAAATGTAAGAAAGGGGCACAAAAAAAGAAAAAATATAAAATCAGTTCCTCACATTTACAAGAGTGCTTCAAAAACTCCATGGAAATGGAAGCAAAGGATGTTTATTTTGGTGCAAAGCACTTGAAACCCATGCATATTCATAATGTTTATTTTCCACAAATTTTTTGAAAGCTTCTCGTACGCATGATTTCTCTTTACCTTTTGAACTTTTTCCAGTACCTTGTCATCCCGGAAGGTGACAGTATTGGAAATGGAGGTCTTCCTCCCCATCCTACCAATATCACCTTGATCTTCCTGTTCCTCCACCCTCACCATGGTCCCCAGCTGCCACACCCAGTAGGGAAGCTGCAGTCCAGTGCAGCCCATGGAGGGTGGTTCATGGAGATTTATAAGTGAGTCAAGCAGCTGTGTTCACTCTCCCTGGGGCATCCCAGTTGGTGCAGAATTGTACACTCTTGTCTGACCAGAGCATGTGGCCCAGGGGCAACGAGGGTCTCACTGCTCCTGTCCTAGAGTCTGGGGCCACTGACTGATCTGATACTAATGATCAGAATGCTTCCTCCAGGGCTCCTATCACTCCAAGCTGACCCTCATTAGATTCTAGCTTCTTTTACTGAGTCCTTACCATGTTGTCACATCTGGTTCTAAGTTCTTTACATGAAGTTAACCAATTAATACAATAATTCTGCTACTATTATTCCCATGTTACAGATAAGGGACCTGAAAAAGTGGTGTGGTTACTGTCTACAGTAAAGTGAACCAAAGGGGTGTCCTGAAGACTGTTGAAAGAATGAGGAGATTAGATGCTCAAGACCTGAACAAATGACTAACAAATAGTTAACAAATAGTTAACAAGTGTTAAGCTGGCAGGGCATCCCAGCCAACCCCCTTGGTCTGCTGAAAAGAAATGCATTCGAAGGCAGGGCTATCTAGAAAGAATGGTGGGGTGGAAGTTGAGGGACCTAGGACCCAAGTCCTGAATCCTTCCCAGATCAACCGTGAACAAGTCACCTCTGGAGGACTCGTTCTCTAACAACGAAGTGGGGTCTGAGATCTGGCTTTGGACATCAGGTAACTTGCCAGGTGTTTTCTGTATGACCAAGCATGTTCAGGCCTTGCCCTTCCAACCTCATAGCCTTGCAGTAGCCCAAGGATGCACTCTGGATCCATTTCTGCACAGAAGGTGACCGCAGCAGAATGTTTCAGTTTCCTCATCTGCAGTACAGGTGAGAGTCGGGACCCGAGGCCCAGCGAAGCCTCTGATTACAGGCCCTCTGATTACTGAGCAGCTGGCGATGGTGTTCCTGGGACATGTGCTGGAGGCTGCTACAGCTGGGCTCTGTTCCCCAGCAGCTGGTGTGGAGAGCAGGGAGGGCGGGACAACCTCTGAGACTGTGGCCAACTGCAGGGTTTGTTAAGGGCAACCCAGATGGCCCCCAGCCAACAACCCATGCCGTGTCCTCTGCAAGCTGTGGCCTCTCCTTCTGAAGGTCTCTCTGAACAACTTGGGGAAAGAGGTTCGTCTCATTGCACTTCTGCACCTGGCCACCTGAGCTAGGCCTCAGCCTGAGCCTCTGTGCTCTGTGGAGCCCATGAGTGTCCTCCTTCCCCATGGCCAGTGAATACCCCTTCACGTGGGCTCCAGGACCACCAGGCGTCCTTGAGCAGGTTTCGGGGAGAGACATCAGGGGAGGTCACACTCCCTTTGCCTCCTCTGTTCCCAGCACAGCACAGTGTCGGAATCTTCTCTTATTTTTCTGAGGTTCTAAGGTTAACACCTTCAAGGCTGAAGGCTTGGGACTGGCAAAAGAGAGTTACAATTAGGGAAGAAAGCAATGCAGTCCGACATTGCCTGTGGCGTCTCCGGGATTCTGCTGAGCTCTGGCTTGGAGTGCTGCACTTACCTCCTCCCCACCCCCACCCCAACCAAGCCTGCCATCTGACTAGAGCTAGCTTAGCTCTCACAGACAGGAGTGCCCTGGCCTCATCTCCCCTACCTGGAGCCCAAGTTCCAGTCCCCTGGTTTTCCCCTCTCCCCTCTACTGGTGAGCAGGGCAGCTCTGGCCACCACTACCCACGTGACAGCCTTTCCACCAGCAGCCGCGGCCATTTATATTTCCTCTTGTCTCAACCTGTCCATTTCAGAACCATCCTGAGCCTTTCCTCTGAAGAGCCAAAAAGCTCAGTGTTTTTCCCAAAACAATAGGCAAAGCAAAAGTGTTTTTCCCTTAGGTGCTTTTCTCTTCCTCTTGCCAAGCAGGAAACGGCTAGAGCTTTGAATTACTGCATGCTTTGCTTCTAGCCTTCGTGCTCACAGGGCCATCAGAGTCTGACATGAGAGCACCCCACCACACGAGTGATAATCAGACAGCAACAACCATGCCTGAGCCAGTCACAGGAGAAGGCCGAGGTGCCAGTCCACATTCAGAAGTAGGTCTTCCAAGAGTCAAGGTTTAAACTAAGCATACAATTAGAGTGGCCTTCAAGAACATGGCTTTGTCAGCCAGCAAGACCAAATTACCCCTGTGTTTATTTAAAAAAAAAAAAAATCAATGACCTATGAATAAACAGCTCTTGACATTGAAAATTGCCACATTAAATACCAAGCTCCTCTGCCTGATTATAGCAGCCTCCGGAGCGCCTCCAAATTGTCACCTCGGCTGAATATGACAGCAAACAATGCTTTAAAAGTAAGTAATCTGCTCTATAATTATTTCAGCGGCTGCCACTGCCAACCAGCAGGATCACTTATGAAAAAGGATGCAGTCGTTCCTTATTAAAAATGCATGAATATACAGTCTCTTGATTGTGGAAAAATAATCAGCAGACTATCTAATGTAACAAGACTTAGCCATGGAAGAATTAATTAGGCTGAAACTGATTAAGGAGAAGAGGGTAAAAATCTATCTGTGATGATTCAGGCTCTGATTAAACTCCAGCGCTAATTCTCACATTCTTTTCAAATTAAGAGCCTCATCTAAATGCTCTGCATTAATATTCCAACATCCCCCACCCTGCTCTAACCAGAGAGAAATGCAGGCACTTATAATGACAGCCAAAGATCCTGCTCTTGTTGACTCCAAAGCCTCCATTTTTCAGGACTCTAGCTCGGGGTTTTCATATTATTTTCAATAAAAGATGGAGGGGGGGAGTGACATCACCAGTCACCCTGGTTGTGAGCACTGAAGAGTCTCAGTGGGAGATTTCTCAAAAGCTAAAGGAAGCATGCAACACAGTAATTCTGTGACAGCCTCCTGACTTCTCTTTGTCTTTGTGCTAACCTGCTCCCATTCAGATATGGGACCTTGAGATGGAGTCATATATTCTACCCCTTGCCTGGAGACAGGGCCATGTCAAACCACAGACCTCTATGTAATTACCTACCAGCTCCCAGCAGCCTCTGGGGACCGGGATGGTGCTCAGGGAATATATTCCCAGCTCGGAGCCCTCCTCCCCTGCCCGCCCTACGGCCCCATTTGAAAAACACCAGGAGAAGCTTTCCCCTGCCGCTGAGCTTTCTCTCCCTATTCCTTCACTCAGGACCCCTCTGGGGCCCCTGGCTCTCTGTGTCCAGACTGTGCTGTGTCTCACAGGCCATTGACCTCCCCCACCTCCCCTTGTTCCTCCAACAAGTGCTGTCCTTGCAGCTCCTCTTCAACCTGCTGCCTTGGTTTCTGACCCAGGGCTGTTAAGGCTGAGCGCATCCTTTGCCTGGTTTGGCCCAGGCAGCTCATGGCAGAGAAGCATCCAGAGGGCCCTGAGCCCCCAACACCATGGAGCAGGAC